CCTGACCGCTGAACGGGGAGCCGCTCCGAGGTGAAAGCTCCTGGGGCAGGGTCTGAATGTAGGTTGGGGGGGATAAAAACTTAAATTTAAGTTTTTAAAAATTCAAATCTCCATTTCTGAGTTACGACAATTAAGTCATTTATGTTATTTTTTTCATTACAAACTAATCACGGATGGATGATGAATCTACCAAGACTCCATTAAACCTTGATGATTTAATTGTTTGTTTGGTTTTTTTTTGCAGTAAAACCACTGGCCAAGACAAGCCGACCTCCACACATCTGCTCCACCTGCAACAAGGAGTTCAAGAACAGCTACAACCTGCGGCGCCACCAGTCCGTGCACACCGGCATCCGGATGAAGGATCGCAGCACACGGGAAAAGGAGGGTGGAGCTAAGGGAGCACGTGTGGAGAAGCAAACGATCCCTCTGTCTCTCCTCCAGCTCACCCTGCCCACACAGCCACCTCCACCCGCATCCACCACCCCTTCTGCCACCGCCGTGGACACCATCCCCCAGCCCAGTCTCCACACTGACCAGGAGAGCCAGCCCATCTCTGTCTCTATCACCCAGGCAACCGTAACCATGGCTGCCGCAGCGTTGCCCGTCCAGGCGGCGATAGTTGAAGTGGGCTCGGTGGAGCAGGTGGAGCAGGTGGGAAACCTGCATGTTTCCATTCATCTTTAATTTTTGATGATTGATTTTAATATATAACATAACAGCCACTACTCTGTGTTAGCTGTCTAAGAAAGTTAGAGCGGGAATTTTCAAGGTGTCACAGGCCTGGGACCAAAACGTGATGTAGAAATGGAGCAGAGACCCCTAGTGTACATACGATATAAACCTGCCTTGTTGTTTTATGGTTCATGTATGAACGTACACGGCTGAAAAGAAAAATAATTTTTTAAAAGAAATCACCAAAAAATTCACTATCACGCTGCGGTATCTGTATGGACCCTGTAGGGGTCGCTGACACCCTGGGTTGGTCCATGTCTTTCTCTTGCTCGGAATATCGTGGCAAGTGCAAAGCAACATGGACCAGTGAACAGGATCAGCTGTGTGTGAACAGAGGAAGTGTGAATGAGGTGTAGATGAGTGAGTGAAAGACTGTGAACCCGTGAACCTGCTGCTGGTGAGTGTCACGTTCTCACACG